AACTTCTACGTTGCGCAAAAACCTGTGGCTTGGAAGGCTGACAATCAGCGGGCTAGTTTAATACTCCTCTAAGGATGGGGATTCAGACTGCAATGAATCCTTTCTAAGGTGCCCTTTATAGAATTCTTGCACGAACCAGGGGTAGGTAAATAGGCTAGTTGTGTAACCTTCTGTGATAATAGTTAAAGTCCATTTTTTGTTTTTTTCCCTCTTCGTTGACGCCGGAATCAGGTTTGTGGGCGAATTCAGCTTGAGTATACTATCGCCACAAAACATGTTCGTCGTTAAACGATGGAGTATGAACACTGCCGTTAAATGGCTGCCGATGGTTTTGTGAGGGAGATAAATCAATCAGTGCATCTAAAAGAAGCGAACACAGAATTGTCAAAATTATTCGTCATGCTCAGCGACAATGCTGAAAATTACGAGCGTAGATTCAAGTACCGACATGAGAAAATGGGAATTTAAAATTCAAATTCCCTGAGGTTTATATAGCAAAAAGGTTTCGAATGTCGCTGGACGGGAAAGGACAGCACTTCGTCAAATCTAACAGTTACGGAACTCCCAACAATTTATTGCCGGATGGGAGACTCACGCTCGAAGATGCAGGAGGGCGGATATCACCGATACGAAGATGCTCCGACTTATCTCAGATGCGCAAATTAATACAAATTTCCTATAAAAAGAAAAACTAAAAAATATGTCTTTATATTCCGACGTCAATTTTCAAAAAGGTGAAAAAACGGACTTATCCAGATATTTTACTCACAGAATACGCCAAATTATGGGTAAGGTAATACTATACTAACAGCACAGGCACCAGCCAAAAGCCAATTCACGCGTGATTTGCCGATCTGTTTCCGTTCATGATGCAGCTGCCAGGGGTTCGGCTCGTTAGTGGGACCTCCAGCATTCCCTGTATGTTGTCCGGTGGATAATTCAATTAAGAAATTGCCGCTTTTTGATTTCTTAAGAAATAATCAACGTAGTTGAAGTAGATCAGTTTATTTAAGTCCCATGGGCAGATGAATATTTGGGCCAAAGTCCGGCAGATACAGCGACAACCGCGTAGTATTCAGTTACTGCCGACATGCTGCTTGTACGGTAAGGTGATGCCGTACTAACAGCACAGGTAGTAGCTGAAGGAGCAAACACGCGTGTTTCACAGTTTGATTCCGCTGCAACGCGCAGCTGCAAGGGTTTAGGCACTTTTGTGGATCGCCCAGCATTCCCCGTGTATTTTCTGTGAGATACTCCAATTTATAAATTGCCGCTCTTTAATTTCCTCGGAAATTATCTACGGAGTTGGAGTACATCAGATTATTCAAAGTCAAAGACCGAGAATTTTCTGCTCGAATATTTTGGCCAAAGTGCATCAAGCACAGCGCGTAACGGCGTAATATTCATTAATTGCCGAAGGTAGTTGTTAGTATACTATGGGGTAAGGTAATACAGTACTGACAGAACGGGTATTTGCCAAAAGCACATGCACGCACGTTTCACCGAATTTTTGCCGCCGAATCGTGCAGCTCCGACGGGTCCTGCATTTAAGTGGGTCGACAAGCATTTCCCGTGTGTTTTCTGGTAGATACTCAAATTTAGATATGGTGGCTTTTTAATTTCCTCAGAAATGTTCATGGAAATTTGAGTAGATCCGTTTATTAAAGGTCGATAGGCACAGACCGAGAAATTTATACATGAAATTTTGGGCTACATTCAACAGGCGCAGCGGGGAACCGCATAATATTCGTCAAATGTTTACAGGCGGATAGTAGTATACATTAGGGTAAGGTGATGCCATCCTTACTGCACAGGAACTAGCCAAAAGCAAATATTCGCATGTTTCGGCGATGTTTTGCCTCTGCCTGCGCAGCTGCGAGGGCTTCGTCTTGTCAGTGCGTCCTCCAGCATTTCCCGTGTGCTTCCTGGTTGACACTCCAATTTAAAATTGACACTCTTTAATTTGCTCATGAATAACTTACGAAGTTGAGGTAGGTCAGATTATTCAAGGTCCAAAGGCTGAGATCGAGAATTTTAAACATGAATATTTATGCGAAATAACATCAGACACAGCGGTTAACCGCGTACTGTTCATCAGCCTCCGACAGGCATAATGTGACACTAAAGTTACAGCACAGGGACTAGCGAAAACCCCATACAAGCGTACTTCGCCTATGTTTTTGCACTGCATGACGCAGCTCCGAAATTTTCTGTTCTTTAGTGGGAGCTCCGCATTCCCCGTGATTTTTCTAGTGAAAACTCCAATTCTAAAATTGTAGATTCTATATTTCATAAGATATTGTCTTCGAAAATGGAGTAGATCAGTTTATTCAAGGTCCATAGGCACACACTTAGAAGTTTATGCATGAATATTCGAGCCACAGCGGATAACCGCGCAATATCCATTAACTGCCGAGAGGCAGCTAGTCATATACTCTAGGGTAAGGTGTTACCCTACTAACAGCAAAGGTACTAGACAAAATCATATACACGCGAGTTTTGCAGATGTTTTTCCGCTGGATGGACCATCTGCAAAGGGTTAGGCACGTTACTGTTTCTCCATCATTCCCCATGTGCTTTCTGGTAGATACTACAATGTATATATTGTCGCTTTTTAATTTCCTTGGATATGATATGGGAAGTTGGAAAAGATCACATAATTCAAGATCCACAGGCTCAAAAACAGAAGTTTAAACATGAATATTCGGGCCAAAGTTCATCAGCCACAGTGGTAACCGGGTAATATTAAATAACTTCCAATAGGCAAGTAGTATTATACCTTAGGGTAAAGTGATACCATAATTACAACACAGGAAGTAGCCAAAAGGCCATACATGCGTGTTTTTCCGATGTATGCCGCAGCTTCGGCTCGTTAGTTAATCCCCAATCATTTCCGTGTTTTTCTGGAAGACGCCCCAATTTAGAAATTGTCGACTCTTAATGTCCTCAGAAATCATCTAAGAAGTTGGATTTGATATGTTTATTCAAGTTCTATGCGCACAGGACGGAACATATTCACATGAATATATTGAAACCGTCCATCAGGAAGAGCAAGAAACCGCGTTATATTCATTAACAGCGTTTAGGCAACTAGCAGTACACTTAAAAGTAAGGTAATACCATGCTTACAGCACATATACTAGTTAAAGGCCCATGCATGAATTTTCGCCGATGTTTGGTGCTGCGTGGTGCAGTTGCGAGAGGTTCGGCTCCTTAGTGGATCCCTCAGCATTCCTCTTGTAGTTTCTAGAGTATACTATTATTTCGAAATTGACAATTGTTAATTTCCATTGATATAATTTACGAAGTTGGAGTAGATCACATAACTCAAGGTCTATAGGCACAGGCAAAGAATATTCTACATGAATATTTGGGCCAACGTCCATCAGCAAGAGCGGTTATAGGCGTATAATTAATCAAATGCCGACTGTCATCTAGTTGTATAATTTCGGGTAAAGTGATTCCATGCAAATAGCACACTAACTAGCCGAAATCCCTTAAACGCCTGTTTTGCCGATTTTTGGCCGCTGAATGGAGCAGCTGCAAGGTAATCGGCTCGCAAATGGGTCGCCCAGCATTCGTCGTGCGTTTTCTGGTAGATACTGCAATTTTGAAATTGACGCTCTATAATTTTCTCAGAAATTATCTACGAAGTTGGAGTAGATCAGTTAATGCAAGGACTATGGCTTTAGGCACTTTCGCCTTTATGAGCATTCGACTAGTACCTCTGCTGTTAGAATGGCATTATCTTACCCCAAAATTATATTAATAGTTGCCTTCGGCATTTGACATAATATTTCACGGTTACCGGATGTGGCTGATGTACTTTGACACAATATTCATGTATAAATGTCTCAGTCTTTGCCTATAAACCCTGAAAAGAATGGTATTCTTTAACTCCATATATATTTTCTAAGGAAATAAAAAGCGACAATCCGTATATAAGCGTATCTACCAGAAAACACACGGAGAATGCTGAGGGTCCCCTGATAAAACGAACCCCACGCGGCTGCGACATTCAGCGGCAAAACATCGGCAAAATCCTTGTGTATGTGTTTTTGTCTAGTTCTTGTACTCTGTGCATAGTATTAACTTACCCTTTATTATACGTATGTATCCTGTAGGCAGGTAATGTATATCATGCACTTTCCCGCATTGGCGGCTGCTATTTGGCCGAAAATCTCAGTCCTTATTTATTGACCTTGAATAAAATGATCTACTCCAACTTCGTAGATAATTTTTGAAGAAATTAAAAAGCAACAATTGCTTAATTCGCGCGTCAACCAGAAAACGCACGTGGAATGCCGGGGGAACCACTGAGGTGACGAGCCCCTCGCAGATGCTTCGGGCATCGGAAAAGAAATCGGCGAATCTCGCGTGTACGGGCTTTTGGCTAGGACCAGTGCAGTTAGGTATGGTATAATTTTAACCTCAAGTATACTACTAGCTGCTTGTCCGCAATTAATAAATGATACGCGATTACCCGCTGTGTATGATGCTATTTGGCCCAAATATGCATCTAAATAATTCTCGGTGTGTGCTTATAGACCTTGAATATGCCCATGTACTCCAACTTCGGAGAGAATGTCTAAGAAAATATAGAATTTACTTTTTGTAAATTGGAGTATCTACGGAAAGCACAGGAGGGATGCCGGGGGTTTGAATGACGAGCCGAATACCTCGCAGTTGCGATACGCAACAGCGAAATATCGCCGCAGCAGGCAAGTATGTGCATTGGGCTAGTTCCTGTGCTGTTAGTGTTGTGTCACCTTTCCGTAAAGTGTACTTACAGCTGCCTGTCGACAGTAAATTTCAGTTTCAGTTTATTTCAGTTTATTTGATAAGGATGATAGGCAAACCCTTTGAAAACCCTATTGATAACATGTCAACTCGTTAGAAATAACTGTACAGTAACAATGGAAACGTTCGCTATATACATAGTACTTGATTCATTTGAGTAGCATTGCCACAGAGAAAAAATATGTGGGGAACCGGGGTGTTTAGCTCAGATTCAGACTGTCGAGGGAAAACAGGGGACACAAATAATCATCCAAGCGTTTCTGGAAGGGTTGCAGCGATGTCGCCTCCACGACTGACTGAGGGAGATCGTTCCATTTCTCTACTACTCTTTGCGTGAAAAATTCAGACCGAAGGTTCAGCCTGGACATTGTTGTCCGTAGCTTCATCGAGTGGCCACGAAGATTGGGTGAAAGGTGCCACTGAAACATGTCCTCAAAGTTAAGCCCATGCTCAAGGCCATTTATTATCTTGTAAACCAGGATAAGATCACCTCTTTGCTGCCTGTAACACAGAGGGAATAGGTTAAGGCAATTCAGTCTGTCCGTGTAGGATTGGTTTTTTAGACCGTTTACCATCTTTGTTGCCCTACGTTGCACCCGTTCGAGGCATGCTTTGTCCTTTACAAGCCATGGCCGCCATGCTTGTATGCCATATTCTAAGTGGGGCCGAACGAAGGTGCCGTAAACTCTCCCAAAAAGGTCTTGGTCAAAGGTAACGAACGCCCTTTTGATTGCATGCAGCACTCCCATTGCGTTTTTTGCAGCCTTGTGGCACTGCAATGTTGGTTTCAAATTGTTCTGTATCCAAACCCCGAGATCCTTCTGTGAAGATTCTGCGGGGAGTCTTATATCTTTCAGATGATATGTCCTCAGGCTCTGATTTGAATGAGAGTTAGTTGGACGCAGATGGAGGACGGCACACTTCTGCACATTGAAGTCTAGAAGCCATTTCTCCGACCACGCTTGCAGTCGATGAAGATTGTTTTGGAGGGATCTCTGGTCGTTAGGACTCTTAATGACTTGCCAGAGCTTAACGTCGTCAGCAAACATTATTTTGCCACAGTCGAGTTCCTGAAGGCTGTCATTAACATAAAGGAGGAATAGCAATGGTCCCAGAACTGAGCCTTGAGGCACACCACTGGTCACGGTCACCCATTCTGACATATCATCACCGATGCAAACACGTTGTTTCCGACCAACCAGAAATGCCCCTATCATGTTCAGAAGATCTCCCCGGATGCCGATGGCGCTCAATTTGTGAAGAAGGCGTTGGTGCGGGACAGTATCGAAGGCTTTGCGAAAATCGATGCACACGACATCAACTTCAAAACCCTCTTCTAGGGCCCTGGTCCAGATCTCCAGACAAGCTAGCAGATTTGAGAGGCAAGAACGTCCTCTCCGGAAGCCATGCTGGAAATCCTGCAAGAGGTTATTTTCTTCACAAAATTGCTGTATGACACTCTTTACTAGAGCTTCCATCGTTTTGCACGAGAGGCAGGTTAGGCTAATAGGCCTGAAACAGCTTGCTGCCATCCTGCTACCGCCTTTATGTAAGGGAACGAGGTTAGCTGTCTTCCACTTTGATGGCAGCCTTCCTGTTCTCATTGACAGCTCAAAGAGCGTCGAAAGAGGCTTCGCCAGCTCCTTTGATAGCTCCTTAAGTATCAGACCAGGAATTCCGTCGGGTCCAGGAGACTTGTCTAGTTTTATTTGACTGGGGACGCGTCTTACTTCTCCGACGGAAAAGGCAACGGTTTCAATGACGGCAGTATCTTGGCGCATTTGAAAATCCCGGCTGTTTCTGTCCATTTCAAACTGCTGATCGTCTTCTGAGGACTCCTCCGTAAAAACCGATTGAAACAACTCAGACAGTAACTGCACTTTCTGGGGCCCTTCGACTAGCAAGTTTCCGAGGCTATCCTTAAGACACGCAATTTCGTCCCTATGTTTTCTCCTACTACGGATGTACTTGTAAAACTTCTTGGGACATGTAATGGATTCTGCTACCAGTCGGCGCTCGAAAGAAGTTCTGGCAATCCGTATTTGCTTGCGGCATTTATTGCGCTGATCCTTATATTCGGCGAGTGATACTGGATCTCGAAGTTGCATATACTTTTTCCACAGCCTCTGTTTCTTCTTCATGGCCTTTTTCGTCGTCGAATTGACCCACGGCGGTCGCCCACATGGTCTTGTTATTTTTATGGGACAATGGGAGTCAATTAGACTCTCAATAATCCCGCGAAAGTACTGCCAGAATTCTTCAGAATCTTCGTTGTTGACTAACCAGGTTTCTTCCAAAAGAGCACGTCTCATTGCGTTAAAATCACCCTTCCAAATATTTCTGCGACTCTTGATTTTTGGTTGTTGGTTCGATAGGAGAGGGCACACGCATGTAAAAGCAATATGATCGCTTAAACCGAGGGGAGGTTGGGGATTCACTTCTCTTATGACTCCCTCTTTACTAAAAACGAGATCTAAACAGTTAGATCGTTGTCCGTCTCTCAGTCTTTTTCCGAATTTTATGTGTTGAATGAGATATTCATTCAAGGAGAGTTGTAGTAGCTTGTGGTCAAATGACGTGAACGGGGCGTTTGCTAAAGGGACTTTCCAGTCTATTCCGGGATCGTTAAAGTCACCCAGAAGTAATAAGTTCTCCTGCTTACATAACGACTCCAGTACACTAAGCAATTCCACATCGGCGATTTTATTCGAGCTGGGAGGCCGATAGACAACACACAGGTTAAGTGTCGGTAATCGTTTGATGCATATCTTGCATGAAATTATTTCAAAAGTTCTCGGCGCGTCATCGGTTATTTCTCGCTGACAGCAAGCAATTTCATTTGACACATAAATCGCTGTGCCTCCTCCTCTTCGTTGAAATCTGTCACAACGGAACAGTTGGTAGCCTTCAATACTGACTTCGCTACTACTTATCTCCTCAGACAACCATGTCTCTGTTAAGACAACTATGTGAGGCTTCTGTTCAGAGACTAGTAATCTGAGTTCATCTAGTTTGTTGAGGAGGCTCTGACAGTTAGTGTAATAGATTTCGAGACAACGACCACTGGTGCCCACAGCCTCAGGAGTTGGCACTTTTGCGTTGGTTAGGCTGTCAGAATGACGGCCTTCGGCCAGAGAAATGTCCTCTTGACCTGAATTATTTGCGCGTTCTTGATCTGCAGTAGCTTCAGAAAGCCATGTTCCTGTCAAGGCGATGATATCTGGCTTGTGCTCGTCGATCAGAGTCCTGGGTTCATCCATCTTGTTTAATATCACTCGGTAACTAGCTGTGGTTGATGCTTTTTGGCCTTAACATTCATGTATAGAATTCTCGGTCTCAGTCTGCAAACCTTAAATAAACTGATCTACTCCAACTTCGTGGATAATTTCTAAGAAAATATGGAAGCGACAATTTTCGAATAGGAGTATCTACCGACGACACACGGGGAATGCTTGGTGACCCATTTAAGATCCGAACGCCACGCCGGGCAACGGCAAAAAATCGGCGAAACACGCGTGTATGGGCTTTTGGCTAGAACCTGTGCTGTTCGTATGGAATCACCATCCCTAAATTATACTACTAGCTGCCTGTCCGCAGTTAATGAATACTTCTCGGTTACCCGCTGTGTATGATGTTATTTGGCCCAAATATGCACGTATCTATTTCTTGGTCTGGGCCTGTAGACCTTAGATAAACTGATTTAATACAACTGTATAAGAATTTTATGAGGAAATCAAAAAGCGACCATTTATATATTTCACTATTTTCCATAAGTCCTACGGGAAATACTTGTTGACTCATTTTGTATCCGAACGCCTCGCAGCCGCGCAATGCAGCGACAAAACCTTGACGAATTACGCGTGTATGGGATTTTGATTAGTTCGTTTGCTGTAAATAGGGTATATTCTTACCCCAAATTATACTTCTAACTGCCTGTCGGCAGTTGATGAATATAACGCGGTTACCCGTTGCAGATAATGTACTTTTGTTTAAAATATTCATACGTGAAATACTCAGTCTGTGACGACTGACCTTGAATAAACTGATCTACTCCAACTTCTACGATAATTTCTAAGGAAATTGAAAAGCTGCATCATCTACTTTGGAGTATCCGCTAGGAAACACACGGGAAATGCTGCGGGAACTACTGACAATACGAACACCTGGCTGCTGAGCCGAGCAATGACAAAACATCGGCAAAACACGTGTGTATGGGCTTTTATCAAGTACCAGTGCCGTTAGTTTGGTATCACCTTACCCTTAAGTATACTGCTAACTGTCTGTCGGCGGTAAATGAATATCATTTGGTAACTAGCTGTAGTTGATGCTTTTTGGCCTTAATATTCATGTTTAAATTTCTCGGTCTCAGACCATAGACCCTGAATAAACACAACACCCCTTCCTCTTGTCCTGGCGCTCGTGTCTCATTCTTCAAGACTACTTCCTGGGACTCGTATCTTTGCCTCTATCGCCAATGTATTTAGGCGCGATGCGCTCCAATCGGCCAGGCGATAGAAAACCTTCACCCTTCGGGAGGCGACTATGTATTCGCAGATCCGGTTTCTGCACAGATGTCTCGACAATAATGTGTTATCGAATGTGTTTCATGCAAGCCTCCGGTAAACACGGATTTGGGGAGACGAACAGTATTTCAGCACGGCAGAAGGATGATCTGGGTCCTCCTCCAAGATTGTCACTCGAGACTTCGCAAGAGTCGTCAAGACCAAGAAAAGACTACATACTGTGAGTTTATGGGCGAGATTTGTACAAATCTGCTCCTTCAGAGAGTGACTGAACAAGCCCGCGAACAGAGAATGATACGCGAGTCAGCACTGGAGAACAAATTCTGAAAGCTGGTCGATCTAAAGTCGTCCAGAAACGACAAACGGGTGCACAACCTGTCATCAAAGGAGCTGACGAAGTAGCAGATGCAGGATTTACGGCACGAAGTTTCATTTTACACGGCTGAAGCCAAACCTGTTAACATTATTGTAGCAGTGGAATCAATCCTTTGTCAGACGGAGGCAACGGAGGAAACTAAGAACCTCAACCGACACCAAGTGTCGTCTCTCCTGATGGCCCACAGGCCACGGGAAGTGCATTCCAAGGTCGAACGTGATGCGCTTAGTGAACTCAAGGCCGACAAAGACCTGGTCATCGTGCCAGCGGACAAGGGACGCTCCACAATTGTACTGTACAGGAAAGACTACCTTTAAAAAGCCAAAGGCTTACTGGAGGACCGACAGGTCTATGTCCCATGTGCAAGGAGCCCTCTAAAAACGCTGACATGCGAACTTAATGCCACGTTGTTGGCCTGGGAGAACTCAGATGCAATAACACTGACCGACAGGCGCATGGCGAGATCCCAAAATACTGCTTTGCCTCGACTCTTTGGCCTCCCTAAGGTGCACAAAGACGGCGCTCCTCTCCGACCCATCGTGTCGCTCAAAGGGACTCCAACGTACGGACTGGCTAAGTGGCCGTTCCGGCGTCTCAAGTTTTTTGTCCGGTGAATCAGACACCACGGTCTCTTCGTCAGCACAATTCCTGGAGAAACTCAAAGGGGTAAGCCTCCATTCAGATGAGGTCATGGTATCTTTCTACGTTACATCCACTTTTACTTCTATTAACCAGAACCTGGCGATCGAGACGATCGAGCTGCTACTACAAAGCAAATATGATGAATCGGAAAATCGTCTTGGACACGCCCAAATCCCTTAGCTCCTGAAGCTCTGCCTTAGGACGTACTTCACGTTCGACAAGACAATCTACAAACAGGTAAATGGAGCACCAGTGGGTTCGCAGATTTCGGGATTCATCGCCGAGGCGGTCCTGCAACGGTTAGAATCGCTGGTCTTCCAACAGCACAGACCAAAATACTGGGCCCGGTATGTGGATGACATATTCGTCGTCATCGAACGGGATCAGGTGCTGACGTTTCAAGAACATCCCAACGTCGCCAACCCAGGCATTAAATTCACGATGGAGGAGGAAGAGAACAACCAGCTGGCCTTCCTGGATGCCCTCGTATGCTGCAAAGATTGCGGTGGACTAAAGACCAAAATGTTCAGTAAAGCGACAAATGCGATGCAAGTACTGAACTTCAACAGCGACCACCCAATTAGTTACAACCCTTGTTGTGTAAGGACGTTCTATCGGCGTATCGAAACGCACTGAAGTGAGCCAGAAGACAAGATTGCCGAACTACAATACCTCCGACGGGTCTTCAAAGCCAATGGCTACCCGCGCAACTTTGTCAACCGGTGCATACGCGAAAGGGACAAATGGCCTAAGCGGACGAACAACAAATCTTGGCGGGCGTTTCCGTATGTCAAGAACGTTTTGGAAGCTGTCAGTCGCCTTCTCGTACCACTTAGGGTTGGAGTTGCACACAGACCAGAAGGCAACGATCAGGTGTCTGGTGAAGAAACCGAAAGACCCGCTGCACGGCTAGAAACGTCTGGAGTCGTTTATCGGATCTGGTGCAGTGGCGGACAAAGCAACTACGTCGGGAAACCGGAAGACAGCTCCGAACGAGAATGGCCGAACACGTTGCAGCGGTGGGGATAAATGACGCCATCTCGCCAGTTGCGGCTCATTCGACGAGATCCGGGCACACATTCAAATTCGACGAGGCCGAAATTCTCGCAAGAGGTGACAACCACGTGAGCCGGGAGCTACTTGAATCGTGGTTTACTGGTCCCTGTCAATTAACAAGTACAATGAACTTCCCCTTCCATGCTCTGTGCTGAGACTTAGACTGAGCGGAGTAATTGCCTCGCGGGGAGCACACAGGTGAATACTCTTCCCAACACCAGGGTCAACGCGTCAGATGGTCGAGCAGTCATCATACAAACATCCAAAGCACGTGGTGAAATTGCAGCAATTAACGGCTCGAACGTCGGCAAGCAATTCATTAGTACACCATTTGCGACGATCCCGGAGGGGCCGTGAATAGGAATGCTGTAGCATGGCGACTGCATCCTATAAATACCGCATCCCCTTGTGCATTAATCATTCGTATCTGCTGTTGTCTCTGACGAATGATTCGAGCAGGAATCCGAAACGTCAGGCTAATTGAGCTCTTGTCTCAGAGATCTTCAAAACTACTTCCTGGGCCTCTTCTCTTTGCTACTATTGACAAACTCATCTACCTTAATTTCGTAGATAATTTCTGAGGAAATTTAAAAGAGGCAGTTTTTAAATTGGATTACTTACCTGAAAGCACATGAGGAATGCTGGACGACCCACTGCCGAGGCGAACCCCTCACCGCTGTGTCATTTAACGGCAAAATATCTGCGAAACCCTCGT